CCCTCCCCTTTGTCCCTTATTGCTTTGTTCAAGCTCCCCATCGACTGTTCTTGGCAGTTCTTTGCAGCCCTCGGCTTTGCTGTTGTTATTTTTGCAATGTCATACAAACTATTCAGTAGCTCCAGTGCCAATATTACCCCTCGTATGAGGGCGAAGAATATCAATATACTCTGTTCCCTAAGCCTAGGTCTTTCTGTGTAAAGATCCGAACGACTTCTGTTGCTGTTCTTGCTGGCATCATCTCAGTCTTCTTTTGAATACTTTCCAGAATGTACTCCATCCTGCCCCTTTTGCTGTCAGTCAGCATTGTTCTGGGTGCCAATGTCAATTCACCTCTAGTAAAGCGTGCCGAATGTGGACCTGGAGTCGGTTCTTGCCCGGCCGGGAAGTGTTGCTCAGAGGCAGGTTGGTGTGGTAACAGTGCAGCTCACTGCGCAGGTTCTACCTGTCAACTCGACTACAGTGACAGCTGTGATACTTTGTAGGAGATATCCTATGCTACTTCAACTCTCACGCACCAATTGATTGACTCAACGTTTCGTCAGCTTTCCACCCCCTGGAACAAGCACAGAGAGTGTTTCACGCCCCCGGATTGGGACAGTCCCTTACGGTATATACCCATTCTTCACTGATCAGGAGACGAGACCCCAATTCTCATTGAATCTTCTTTCTAGGCAATACTATAACGGAATGCACAAATCCGGGCCTCATGGCTCTCACCTTCGACGATGGCCCCTTTTCCTACACATCGCAAATTCTCGATATTCTCGACAATCTCAACGTGCAAGCGACATTTTTCGTCGCTGGTAATAACAAGGGCAAGAAAAGGATTGACGATACCAATACGGCTTGGCCTGCAGTTCTGAGACGCATGCATGCTGCCGGCCATCAGATCGCAAGTCATTCTTGGTCTCATCGCAACCTCAACCAAGTGAACAGCACAATTCAGCGTACTGAGATCATCTACAACGAAATGGCCTTCCGTAACTTGTTTGGCTGGTTTCCCACGTACTTTCGCGCTCCATTCCTTGAGTGCTCTACGACTTCAGGCTGCCAAAGCCTCATGAAGACCCTTGGATACCATTTACTTGGCGTCAATGTTGATACCAAGGACTACATGTACGACAGCCCAAGCCTGATACAAACGGCGAAAGACCGCTTTTCCCAGGCAGTGTCTCAAGATCCTACGAGAAAGGGCTACATCGTTCTTGCCCACGACGTACACGTCCAGACCGTCGTCAATCTGACACAGTACATGATCGAGACGTCAAAAGCACGCGGATATCGCCTGGTTACCGTAGGAGAGTGCCTTGGGGATCCCAGAGTGAATTGGTATCGACCCGTTAACCCGAGCCCAACCACGACAAGGACAAGCGCCACAACTGTCTCATCACGAACGTCCGCCACTGCCATACCAACGTCGAACTCTGGTCTTAAGATATCACCTGACCAGACATGCGGTGGTGGCGCCGCCGGCTTCACCTGCCAGGGCTCCAAGTATGGAAATTGTTGCTCTTTCTACGGCTTCTGGTGAGTCAATCTCGATTTTTCATGGACTTAGACACAGCCGCGTGTTTTCTGCCTGCAGAAGTGATTGTCGATCTTGGGTTGTTTCGGCAGACTAATAGTCTTGGCAGCGGCTCCAGTCCATCCTACTGCGGCACGGGATGTGACACCGGCTACGGAACATGCACGCAGTTGCCAGCAGGTCTCAGTGATACGACCAACGGGCTGTGTGGAACACGATTCAACGCCTCATGTAAAAAGTATGGTAACAAGAACTGCTGCTCGCAGTCTGGCTTCTGGTATGCTCTCTCTCTTTTCTTCATCCCCCTACTCTTCGGCTTGCTGACGAGCGACCGAACAGCGGGAGCTCAGCAGCGCATTGTGGCGCGGGGTGTCAGAAGGTTTTCGGTATTTGCGGTTGAAACATTCGACATTGCAAGGTTCGAGTGTTTGTAGCTTTCACGGCTCGAGAAGAAGCCGTGATCTGTTCTCGAGAGGCGGCATGATACATGTAGAACCTCGACATGATCAGACAGTCAATTGAATACACGAAATATAGCTAGGGTCACAGTAATAGGTTGGAACATGTCTGTGGGTTTTTGGTAGGTCCAACTTTGGCGAAATGATTGACTTCACGCTCATCACCAACTACAATTCCGATACTTCCGTTTCACCTTTCATCGCGCCCGTTCAGATAAGTCCTCACTATGGGCACACATCTGTTTTACAAGTTGTTTGGCTGTACCTCGATTGAATTCCGAATGAGCATGCCGTGGTCGCCAAGTAGTGGCTTGAAACCATGGACGGGCCCTGCTTTGCGTCACATAACTAAAGGTCACATGTAGCATTTCCTGGACCGTGATTCAATGGCTTGTTTCCAATGGCTTGTTAACAACGCCCTAGACAAGTGGAAAGAAGACAAGATGCGGAGGACCGGTTATATTCCGATTTGTCATAAATCCTCCGAGTATGATTTGACGGGCAACCATTCGCCAAGTACACAAAGAAGAACACACCTCGCTTGCTGGTAGCACATGCAACCATGGACAGTCTTCTTTGTTGCTTCAATGGCATTCCTTGGGTGATCGCGCGACTGATCAATCGGGCCATTGAGTTTACCATGGACCTGCCGGATGCAAAGGAACCAATGGCGAAAGAGACATGGATGATGCTTGTCGCAGCCTAGCGAGTCTAAGCCTGATCTGAGGAGCCCCGTTGGGAGAGATACCAATACTGGGAGAAGGAAAGCTGCGGGAGCCACTACTTGGCCAAGATTATTCCACGCCGGCGAGTCCAATGTACCGGACAGCAAGGACACAGGGGTGACAATAATATGCTGTACTCCATGCGGGCAGTGATCAGCCCTCAAGCATCCCGGAAACCCCCAACTATTCCATGGCTCATCAACAGCTGTTGCGGATCCAAGGTTCATTGCGCACGGATATCCACATATTGCCGTCCCGTCCCTTGCCATGCAAGGATGTGTCCAGGAGACCCAGGTAGAGGGGGTGCAAATGCATTGGAGGCGATTGATAAAACGTATGCCAATAAGCAGTACGATCTGACATCACACAAGCACAAAGAAAAAATGCATCCACTTCGGACGGCATCTCGGGTCTGCCAACGTCAATAGGACCACAGTTCTTGGTGAAATGGTACGCACCGAGTCGAGTCGAAGTCCTCTTCCTTGGCGCGTCGTATTCGATTTCAAGCATCGTTGCACAAAGACCACCAGCTCAGCAGCTTCCAAGAAACGTGGCTTTGCAAACACACACGCCCTGTGATGGACACCTCCTTTCAGCCTCGCGCTTCTAAGACACGAGGACCACATGGATTTGATTATTTTCATTGCTCTTTGCCTCGTATTTGCGACTCCAATTCTCTTAGTGGGAATTGCGATACTTGTTGCTTTGTCTCTCTATTCACCCCTCATTGAGAGAGCTCAGGTCATCATTGATCTTCTCACTTAATCCCAGATGAGATCATGGTTCGTCTAGAGCACACCTGAGTGTCAGCAAATGCTGCGATCACACTGTTTGCGGGAAATATTTCTACCATAGACACCAGAGTCAAGTTCGTGGGGGAGGCACGGAGAAGCACCGAAAGGGTCATCACGTCAGCCCGCCTTCGGGATATTACCCCAGTGCATGGGCCATTTTCTCTTTGTTTGCTGTTCTGTGCAAGTCTTATTGCTCCGTTTCATGGGGCTGTGTGACCTTTGTCTTGGCTTGCTTTTGCTCGACAATTGTTAGCGATGCAACAGTGTCTGAACCGCATACCCGGCATACCCTGGCCCACGTCCTCGGTCTCCCAGGGTCAAGATCCTCGTCCGCATGCCGCGGTCTACGTACCTCTTACACAATCCGGACCTTATCCCGGGCCTCGAGTTCGACCATCTCGGACACTACTGCAAATGCTTGCACACGGCGCCATCAGCAGTAGCAGCACCGGTGCAAGGGTAGAAAGGCTGGATGGTCGATAGGTCGGGAAGGGTGCCAGCGCATGGCCAGCTCGTTGGATCAGCCGTGGAGTTCACCGACATACTGGGATGTGACAGACCGTATTACTATCCGATGAATTGCATCAGTGTCGATCTCAAATTTTCCCTGTTCAGAACAAAGCCTTGCAAGTCTTATTGTTGTTCAGCTGACGGGTGAGTAGATCACCCGCTTGCCAGACTTTCTCATCTCAGCTTGACTTGTGAACGAACATTTACTCTACCCCATTCTTGAGAGACACTCTTCTGCATTGGTGTCTAGGATCTCCATCCTCCATGCTTTCTTTGGGAGGCACCGCTGTCAAGTTTAGCTCGGTGGCTTGGACTCGGCCTAAATACCTATCAACACCTTGCAGGGTTCAAGCCGCTTGACCGAAGCGACATCTGCAGCATTCATTCCGATCATATCCGCGCTCGTGCTGTCAAAGCCCCTTTCTTTGAATTGTCGCGGTTCCAATATTACCTCGCGTCCTCCGCCTTAAACTGCCAGAATTATCTATCTCGCCAGGGAGCCCTCTTTGTCCATCCTCGGCATTGGGATACACACTCGTTACTCCTCATTGTCTCCTATTGTATTCTTCACATAGACTTTCCACATTCCCCTCCTCCTACACGAGTATATTCATCCTCAGAACCTGCTCGATTACAGGTTTACACGTGGTTTCACAATACCTACGGGCCCATCTTTGCTCCGCCTTCGCCATGGCTAGCACCACTGTCGCGAGGTCTAGCCCTCCGCTCCCTCCTATCCCGCAGTCCCCTTCTGAGATGGAGGGCGGTTATCTCGCTGCAACAAATCCACAAAGTCGCCGCAGCTTGTCTACACACATTCCCAGCGGGCAGCAGTCCTCGGCCTCGGTGAGACAAAAGTAATCGATCTTTCGACATTCGCATGGCCACTAATCTAGCACCAGTCAATTGGTCCTGGCTTCCGTCCAGATGATCTTCCACTCGGAGCACGCACGCCAACGTCAGGTCCTGCCTCATGTTTCTCTCGCGGCGCCGACTCAAGTGCATCTTTCCAGTCCTCAGTCCAGCAGGAAGAGGCCAAGGTACGATGGGACTCTGACAGCGAGCTCAAGGTCGTATCCAGGTCTTTGCTCCGAGTTCAGAAGTGGTCACTACTTATAGGACTCTGCTGCATCAACGCCGCACTCATCTACGTCGCTTTCACATACTATCAAGCATGGATCCTGTTCATTATACTTTCTGTCTTCGAACACCATGCTTCAGTTCATCATGATCTTGTGCATCGCTGCGCACACATTAGTCACGCGTGTCTTTTGCTTCTGGATTTTCCGGAAAGAAAACAAGCCCGAGAGCCCAGAGCGGTTCGTCATGTTGTTGCCTTGCTACAACGAGACACTGGGCGAGCTGACCAGATCGCTGGATTCTCTCATCGCACAGAAGAATATCGACGACCATCCCCGAACCATTTTCATCGTCGTCGATGGCAATGTCAAGGGTCCTGGCATGGAAAAGACCACACAGCAGTATCTCCTGGAGGACATCCTTGAACCTGGCCCCTCCCGCACGTTTGAAAACGGCTACCGCGCGCGCGATGGCCTGTTCATGCCTACTAAAGTTCAGACGGGGTTCTACAAGGGAATGCCGTATGTCTTTGTCGGCAAACGCTACAACCAAGGAAAGCGCGACAGCTTGTGCTTTGCGCGTTCATTCATCTACCACTACCAAGTGCGATCCGCCAACGTCATGACAATGTTCAACAATGACCTCTTCGAGTATATTGGAAACGCATTCATGCAGCACGGTCTGGAGCACATTGAGTATCTGGTGGGTATGGATGCCGACACGGTGTTTGACCAGTTTTGCATCTGGGGAAATGATCCGCGAGATCCGTAAAAACCCCAAGCTTGTTGGTGTCTGCGGCCACGTGTGCGTGGACTATGACGGGAGTAACTGGGGCCTGTGGTCTCTTTACCAGTCCGTCGAGTACTCCCAGACCCAGGGTCTTCGTCGTCTCTTCCAGTCACGCATCACAGGCAAAGTCAACTGTCTTCCAGGCTGCTGCCAGCTCATCAAGGTGATCGAGCTACGTTTGAGACGAGTCTGCGCGACGCTTCGATACTGCCCAGCCCACGACATAATGACTATGCACATCATGGGTACTACTCAGAGGACTCTATCCATGCGAGCATCATATTCAGCTTTCCCCAAGCGACAGACAGCCCAGGCGCTCCGTGCAAAGACTTCACCATCGTCCCTCAAACTGGAACCGTTTCCTGTCTCAGCGCAAGCGTTGGGCGCTGGGCTCCATCACCAACGAATTTGTCATGATCTTTCGCCCAGGCATCATTCTTGTGGAGCGTCTTCAGTCCATCGTCGCAGTCTTGACGTGGTTCATCACGCCCTTCATCATGGCAGCCGTTGTCAAGCTGATCCTCATATTGATCGAGCGGGGCGATGAACTGGTCAAAGATCCGGTTTTCATGACGCTCATTTCTATTCTGGCTTGCCGCTATGTGAGTCAACCTAGGCTATTTTTGCTTGACGTTATCGTTCGCTGACTCGTCCCAGTTCTACTCGCTCTGCATTGGCTTCTGGCTCCCCCGCAACTGGTTCGAGAGGGCACAGTACTTTGTCGGGTACTTTTTCCACTTCATCACCTCGCCCTTCTGCAACGTGGTTGTGCTCGTCTACTCACTCTTCAACTCGGACGACTTCAAGTGGGGCAAGACACGCGAGGTCATCGATCCGGAAGGCGAAAAGGGGGACGGCCTTGGTGGCCGTGGAACACATTAACTTGATAAACGCAAAGTAAAGAAAAATGCTGGGGTTCGATGGCCCCGCTGTGTCTCTTTGATGTCAATAAAGGTAGGTGGCCCTATCTTGACGCACTACATAGAATATTGGGCGGAACTGCACTGCACAAGGCTGTGGGTGCACTGGGAACGCTGAAGCCAACGGAAGCATGAACCAAGACGTGGACGGCCGATCGAGACAGAAACATGTGGGGGTCTGCAACAGCCCGGGGTCCCTTTGATTACAGTAAAGCTTGTTTTTTTGGTCTAATATGATATGATATTCAAGACGTTTTCTTTTCCCGCTCGTGCGGATCGCTTGGATGTCTCTATGAAGAAGCCCAATTTAGGCCGGTTTCTGATAGCGCCGAGAACCGGCAATTGCAAAACAG